TTTGTCAGCTGCATACACTTCGGCTACAGCGTAGCAATACATGAAAAAGACCAAATCGGTGAATACAATTAGCACTCTCTACAACTTTTGAAGGTACTACACAGTGGCGCGAAGCTTAAGCCTGAATAAAGGCACGTGATCTGTTACTCGGAACCTCCCGGAAAATATCCGTCGGCTGCGGAGTGTATTTTTCAGCAAATGGGTTTCCAACACGATCTTGTGCGTCCAGAATTGTTCTCAGGACCCTTGAGCGTGCGTGCAGGCGTGCGTCCTGAGATGCTATCTGGACCAGCCTGTGCGGGACCCATCAGAAATTTAGATAGTCTAAATGTCAGTGTGTAACGGGGGGGGATGGGGGAAGGATGACGGGAGGGATGTGCTGTTACTGCGGCACCAGCCCGATGCCGATTGCTCTTGCGACGTCCACTTGCACTCTTATACGGCCACAATCGCATGCACCGCGCATTGCTGTGGGGTGCCACGGAGGCCCTTGCAACGCGTAATTGTCGTACCATCGGGACTCATCTCGTAGGCGACGTACCTGCACCACCGCGAGGCAATGTCGTTGATTTCGCGTGTTTCACTGCTCCATTACATCTGCCTGTGCCCGCTGGCAATCCTGCATATTAACAGTGAGTATTTACGTGCTCTGCGACATTTACAGTCGTTGGATTTCAGCATTTGTGCATTGTTCAAGTGATCACATCAATCGAGACTCGCACTCCACCATCAATGCACCCATTTCAGCTCTCCGAGAAGCCTCTAATGCCCTCTCCCACGCCTCCAATCGTTCCACAGATGCTGGATTTATTTCGTCTGCGAGTCGTGCCAGAGCGACCAGAATTTTTGCGTGATCTAGCATAAAGTCTGCACGCGCTGCCCATTCAACCCCCCAGGTGAGAATTGTACGAGCGTCCGAGTGAAGCTTCATTGCTGCCATAGAGCGTCCAAGAAGCAGAACGCAAGTCACGATAAGGTTTAAGTTTTGGTCGCGTGAACAGAGGGCAAGGGAGAGGATGGTCCGGTGTAGAGCCTCTGTGGCGAAGGCGTTTGAATCCGCATCTCTCGCTCGATCCAGTGCAGCCTCTATTATGACGATGTTCAGGTTGACTTCGATCTCAGTTGAGTTCAGCTTGCGTGCCAGCTTGAATCCCGTCGCAGTTAAAGCGTCCACTTCGGCAAAGTTGCCCTCAACGCGAGCTAGCAAAGCTTCGCGCATGACGCGCACAAGCTGCTGCCAGGGCGAGCGATTGGAGTTGAGTTTGCCTGCGGCATCAAATACGGCTCTGGCTGCTATGATGTTGCCCATGTCGATCAATATATCCGATTGGAACCCCATTTGAAAGGCCAAACTTGATTCCGAGCCGTAGCGTCTATTAAACTCGCGGCAGAGTTCGTTCATGCGCAGTGCCTCTATCAGCCGGCCTTGGGTCAAGAGGATGTAAGACAAGCTTTCATAGACACGTCTCAATGGTGCTACGCTGCCTGTGGATAAGCAGAAGCGAAGAGAGTCACGAGCGACGATTTCGGCCTTCCGGACGGAGCCTTGACGAATATAGATATGGGTCATGTCGATCTGAGCAGAGACGACTCCGGTGATGTAGTTGGCTGCTTCAAACATGCAACTGCTTTAGATGAGTATCGGAGGCTCTGGATGAAATTATTGGTAAAGAATGTCTTGATTCCGAGACGGTTCCAACACTGCCCTTGTTGAATCAAGTACTGATCGCCCAACTGTTCATAACTGGCCAGAGCCCGTTGAAGAACTTCCACTGCTTCCACCGCCGGCAGAGCAGTACCAAGAAGGTATCCGGCTTCCGCGATGAGATCATCATCTCCAATAGTCTGGGCAAGATCCATGGCTTTGCGAGCCGAGATGGTCTCTTCCAATTTGGTAGGCGCGCGACGGATTTGACGAAATAGAATGGCGAGCTGCTGACGCAAAGACGCAACTGGATTGCTGGAACCTCGTGCGAGATGCGGGCTCTCAGGCATGCCGGCAAAAAAAAGCATCGTTTCGAATTCGGTTACCACCGAAATAGGCCATTCAGCCTCGCAAAAATTGTCAAGGCAGTAGCCACACACAGACTCGACGTTTGCCCACTCAGAGGTCAACTGAGCGAGTAAATCTCTCGTACGCGACGTTCCCAGCTTGCGTATGATGGTAGTAAGATCAAGATACTCGCGTTCCAGCGGCACAATCAAGGAATAGGGTGGAGGGTGGTGGCGCAGGACATATAGACGGATGGGCGTGAGTGATCGCGTACGGCCGTGGCAATCTGAGGACGCAAGCAGAGCACTCTTGAGCGCCGATGCCGCCCGTCGGATCGACTTGAAGGAAAGGTGAGAATATTGTTCGGACAAACCATTCGGTAGTAAGGCAAGGAGTTGGAGCAGCTCGAACGCGCCAGGGGTGCTAACAACGCGGGTTGATTCTACCGAAAGCTTGATTGAGACATCAAGGGAAGACATGCGAGTGACAGGCCCAGAGCGTTCTGCCTGCAGGGACTTTGTTCCTTCTTCCTGCCATCGCTGCAGAATGATAGCAAAAGGTTCAGTGCAGGCCATGTTGGCGGCGAGCGTAACTGCCAGTGGGATGCCATCGAGGAGTTCAAGGAATTGCTCTAGCTCCTCTTCATCGCCAGAGAGACTGGAAACGGTGCAGAAGATTTGCCGAGATGCTTCAAGATCAAGAGCTCCAAGCGGTTCTAGAACGGGCACAGACCAGGATGCTCCGATGGGACGCTCGCTTCCTCGCATCGTGAGGAGGAGGGAGACGTTTGAGAGAGAAGCCAATTCCCCTAGAAACCGCTCAGTCTCCACGCGTTGGTCCACGACCTCCCAAGGTGTCTCAAAGTTGTCTAAAACGAGCATAATCTTCCGACTCGTCGATGCGAGAGCGGCCAGCAGTCGCTTTCTCAGCTGGTCTCCGGAGATGCCGACATGAGATGTGATGTCAGCGAGGAGACCTCCAGCAGATGTAGCGCTCTCGCAGGATATGAAGAAGCGGTGGTCGCCAAACTCATCGACAATGGACGGATGGTTGAGAACGCTGAGTGCAAGCGTCGATTTGCCCATACCTCCACCGCCGAGAATCACAATTCGAGCTGGGAACGAGCTCGGAGCTGTGCAGATCTGGTTGAGGATGACCCGTTGCTCGGCGTTGCGACCTATGAGTAGACCGGCAGAGGGCAGGCTCCTAGTCGACATGAGCGGCCGCGAGAAACCAACTAAAAACTCGCACCTTGGATGTAAGTGGCTCGATGCGTCATCGGTTTCACTGGCCGTGGCATTCAGAATATCAAGAGTCTGAATCTGCACCCTTGTACGCCTCTCCTGTAGTATGTTGATCCTACGATGAAGATGAATCGCACATTCGGACTGAGCAAAATGTCAGAGGCTGCACGTGTTCTGAATGGAGAAGCTCCACTTGAAATGCGCTTATGGCGCGGGAGAGCTCATCTCTAGCCTGCCGTTCGCTCGAATGCTCCTGGAGTCGGTGAAGCAGACCTGGTTGGGATTGATATTGTAAAAAATCCAGCACACTTTCCAAGGCTCTGAAATAGCTAATGAGCGAGGCAAGTACCGCTTGCGCTAGGACGTACCTATTCAGCTGCTTGAGACTATCAATGGCTTCGCCATTGAAGTCATTGGCGTCCGTACCGCCTAGCTCCGACTGCACAATATTCAATGTCTCATTCACGAGCTGGATAACGCGAATGCATGCGAGGCGGTTGCTGCGGGCTACCTGGTCACACGCTTCATCAATGTGGCTGAAGGAGATGCCACTGTCACGCACGGCCGTACCTTGGCAGACTCGAATATGAGACTAGCTGTTCCTAAGATCGCCTGTACGGCAGGGACCCCGGAGAGATTACCAACCTGTCTGAGCGCCTGAATCGCGAAGAGTCCGGTTGCCATTGGAGAGAATGGGAGACTGCAAGAGGGCGAGCGTGCATGTCTTTTATTAAACCGCAAGGTACCTTTGTCGGTGGTAATGATGGCTGTAAAAGGGATGGGCGGCGAATCTACTGCGGTTAAGAAGGCATCGCTGAAGAATCACGTCTGGTTGTTGACCAAGGTAGTGATGCTTTGTTACACAAGTCACCTGCAGAGTCCCTTCCAGGTTGTCAGCACACCAACCTGCACTAAAACGCACGTCACATACATAACGTGAGGAGAAGAACTCATTGGTGTCATAGTGAGGTGGAAGGAGGAGTCGCAGCTTTAAAGGCCCAATTCCGACCATAAGCGAATGCGGCATGCACCAATGATCGAATGTCTGAAAGGTCAAGTATCTCTTCCAAAGATGAATGCAAGCCCACAACAAGACTGCATAAAGCGTAACTCTCGATGATATAGGTCGCCAGATGGTTAAAAAAAAAAAAAAAAAAAAAAATCGCTCGCCGGCCTTGAAAAAAGTACTCCCTCGCCGGGAGTCGAACCCGGGTTACGCGCGATTGTTCGGGATTTGCCGGGAAGATGTGCAGACAAAAGAAAAAAGCCATCCCAGCTGCTGGGCGCAGCCAGGATGGCAGTGTATTGAGGGCAACATGAAGGGGCAAGTGGGGGGTGAAGGGGCAAGTGAGGGGTGTCTCATGGTGGGCTCGCGGAACTCACATCGGTCAGTCAGGAGGATGTGCAGACAAAAGAAAAAAGCCATCCTGGCTGCACCCAGCAGCCAGGATGGCAGTCTATTGAGGACAACATGGAAGGGCTGCGAGGGGGGTGTGGACAAGGGGTGTCTACCAAACAAATACAAACTAAATTTCGTACAATCGCAATGGGCGTCAAAGTCCAGCTCAAAAACTCCCTCGCCGGGAGTCGAACCCGGGTTACGCGCGATCGGCGCCGCGCGTGATGCTGACGCATTGTATGTGTATATTATCACAGGACGCTGTTCTCAAGCGTCTCTCGTGGTCCAACGGTTCATCACATACATAACGTAAGGAGCAGAACTCAATGGTGTCATAGTGAGGAAACGAATAAGAAAAGAAAAACTCCCTCGCCGGGAGTCGAACCCGGGTTACGCGCGATTGTTCGGGATTTGCCGATTTGTGACAGGCGCGTGTCTTGAACCGTTGGACCACGAGAGATTGCTAGTCATCGGAAGGTTCATCGGAAGACAGGCGCGTGTCTTGAACCGTTGGACCACGAGAGATTGTTGTAACTTGCCCATCGAAAATAGTATATGAGATTTATACACGATCGGGCTTTTGGTGAGGGTGATCTCTGGTCCAGTAGAAGCGCGGGGTCAACCTGTTTCCCAATCGTGTTTCGGTTGTGGTCGATGGCCCGCTCAGGGACTCGTCCAAGTTTTCAAGCCGATGGCGCACCAGATTGCCTGTCCCTAGTAATCCTCTCCGAGTAGTTTGTTCACGATACATTTGTTGAACACCTTGTCCAGAGCTGAGGAGAGACAGCTGCCCCGTGACGCGGTTCCAGACTCCGCCGCTTCTTGATTCTTGTCTCCACCCTCAGCAGATTGGCCTTGGTCAACTTCTCAATTGCGACGAAGACCCAACTTGCGCTGCGAACAATTGTGCGATATGCACGCGCAGTGAAAACCTGAAGTACTGCTGTGCTCTGTTGTCAGTCTTGCCAGTTGTATTGTCTGTGGCCACAAAACCCGCGCCCACCTGGTCTAAAAGTTTTACGTGTACCCCTCTTTCAATTTTAATGAATTTTAACCTCATGCTATTGAATATGTTAATTGTCAGCGTATGGAGATATCATGCTGACAAGACCATGAACTTGAATTCTGGTTGCGGTCACCTTTCGCCGTCTGGCTATTCGGTTGTCATCGCATTCCCTCAACCTGCTGTTTTTTTTTGCTGTCCATTATTGTCTGAAAACATTTCTACACAGTTTCGCAGTGGAATGATCAGTGGAAGGATGAGAAAGGTCATTTCAGAGGCGAAGCGCTGTTGGCATCCATGAGTCGAGGTGAGCATCCCGTTATCAACGGTCTATGCCAGACCCCTGAGACCTGCAGCAGGCATTCTAACGCCAGGACGGTACAGTCGGATAGTTCAAGCGGACAGCGCGCGCCAACGCTCGTGTATCAGTTTGACGCTGGATCGTAAGCCGCCCGCGAATCCGCAGGCGCGGATCTGCGCATCTCTGGGAGAGTGTCACCACTCCTGAGCATAACGTACTGAGCTGGGATATGCACATGACATCTCTCCGGTCGAGCCCGCGCTCGGAGCTGTACACAGTACTAAGCGCGTTTCACGAGCGGAATTTGGCCTCCGCGCCGCGCCTTGGCCTCACACGATTCGCGGGCGCCGTTGTTGCCGTGCTCTCGAGCCACGCCCTGTCACTTCCCCTTGCTTTAATCCCCAACGAATGCCCAGTCATGAGCTACGGACTCACCGCTGATGTCGTGCGTCGTATTCATTTGGTGAAGAAATGCTAAGGAGGCTGCTGATGTCGTGATGCATTCAGGGCGTCAAACTGGGTCCAGTCATGCTCGAAACCGCATTCAAGCACTTTCTGGCCCAGCGAAACGGCGAGGTCAAAGCAAAGGACGAGATCCTGTATCATGAGGCGTTCAACATCGTCAAGGTGCGAATACTCTCCGCGTACCCTCAACTTGACTGACACCTGTCGCAGACTTTCATGCAGACCTCGACAAAGCACACGGTATGTTTCCTTAAACTAGCTGATTCCCCCCGAATCGGCGTTCCTGAACGTTGTCAAGGTTGAAGAGCTCCAGCAATTCTCCAACCAACGCATTCCCGTGCCGCCTTGGGTCCATGCTCCCCGCGTTCTTATCCCGATGACCACGTGCGACGAAGCCGCTAAGATCCTAATAAACGTCCTTGGCGGCCCTGAAGTGTGTAAGCAACTCGTCGGTGGCACCAAATGGTGGCAAGTGCGCGGGGTCGAAGGCGTGCACGGCCAATGGATCGCCGCCCGTAAGGACTGGCAAGAGGCCAAGCGCAAACGCAAGGAGTACGAATCCAAACACAAGTCGAAGCCCCCCGAAGAGGCAGATATCGTACACGAGTACCAGCCCGAGATGGACCAGATGCGGTGCATGCTATTTGCCCACGGAGGTACGTCTCTCGAGCACAATGAGTGCAAGCATGCTAAAACCGCGTCAAGGTGGCTACTTTTTCGGGTCGATCGACCAGGAGCGGTATTGCATGCAGAGATACGCGCGCAAGATGAAGGGCCGTGTGTTCGGTACGTCGGCTGTCCTAACAGTTTCAATTCAAGCTCGCTCACTTGGCTTCAGCTGTTGGTATGTGCGACGTGAGCATCATTTATTGGTCTGACGCCGTTCAGGGTATAGGCTAGCGCCACAGTACCCGTTTCCCTGCGCGATCCAAGATGTGCTAGCAGCATGTCAGTCATTCACACTGTTGTCATTGAGGCTCTGACATTTCTTTAGACCTGTATCTAATCCGTCCGCCTCCTGGTGCCAAACACTTGCCCGTACCGCCGTCGATGATCATCTTGGGCGGTTCGTCAGCGGGAGGAGGGCTCATGATCGCGCTTCTTCAGACAATTCGCGATGCTGGACTTCCCCTGCCGGCTGGCGCTGTCCTCATCAGCCCGTGGTGCGACCTTACGCACTCGTTCCCGAGCATCCATGAAAACACTGCGACGGACGTCATCCCACAACTGGTCTTAGCTTTCTCAAGCCTAGTGTGCTGTGGCCGCCACCGACCGAGGAAGAGTCTCATGCCGTTGTGCGCGAGAAGCTCAAGACCCGCATCAAGAGACTCATGAGCCGCGACACCGACACGTCGTCGAAGTATCTCTCAGCTGATCATCCTGTGGCCGGACCTGGCGGCAAGAGCATGAGTTTTCACCATATCCGGCACGCGAGATCGGAGGGTGACCTCGGTGTGCCAAGGGATGCGAAGACCAAAGTTGCTGGCGACATTGCTGGTGACAAGATCGAGGTAGTCATCGGTGGAATACACACCGAAATCAACTCGCAGATACATTTGTATTGCCCCAACAGGCTCATTAAGCATCCGCTCGTGAGCCCCGTGGTAAGCTATCTTGGTGGGCTGCCACCTCTGTTCTTCATTGCGAGCGACAAGGAGGTTTTGCGTGATGAGATCATCTATGCGTGAGTCTCTACAGACGAAGTAGTTCTCGACTCACATCTTCCTCAACAGGGCACACAAGGCGGCAAGGCCAGACAAGTATCCGATCAGCGATGAGGTGAAGATGCTATATCCAGTTCTCCAAGATATCGAGGGCAGGGGAGGGCCTACAAAAGTGCATCTGCAGATTTATGATGGTGTGCTGAACTCGTGACATGACCCGAAGAGACGCGCTGAACGCTTGTATCAGACACCTGCCATGTTCTTCCTCTGTTCAGCTTTTGCACGCCTGCGAAGTTCTGCTATCGAGCGGTACGTCGGCATCAACATCTACCACGCCGAATTTTGCTCACGCATGCACAGATTGCATCCTTCTGCAGGCACGTTGTACCAGATCGTCAACCCCGGATGTCCATGGCCTCATCGCCACCATCATCTCCTTCACACGAAAACATGGCTCTCACCGACGGCCTGATAGTCCGGACTCCTGAGCAGGTCGACTCGCTCAGGATCAACGTTCCCGTGCAGTCGCCCACAAGTCCTTCAGCAGTTTCTCTAGCTATTCCCGTGGCCGAGTCTCCTCTGTACCAATCGCCTTCAGGGATATCATCTGCACCCTCGCTGTTCCAACCCGAACCAAAGGCATCAACACCAGCGACGTCAGCTGCTGCATCTTCAAGCACTGGTGTGGTCATTGCTACAAAAGCAACCGACAGACCAGGAGCCAAGCGCGGTCTCACAGCCACTGCCAGCACCTTGAAGCGTCGACTGTCGTTGACTGTGCCACCATCGCTCGTTCGCAGAAGCAAGTCTGCAATGGAGACTAGCAAAGTGAGGTTTTCAACTTCCGCCGCCCCGATTCGCGAGGACTCCGGAGATGTGGCAGGCAAGCGGTTTGGACACGACGATGGCGTCAAAGGACCAGGGTGTGCTGGAGACCCGGTCGTTTATGCACTACGGGACGGCAAGGATCCGTTCTCGGTGCAGAACCCGATCTGTGAGCGCGTTTCAACCGTCGGTGTCCTCCGCGAACTCGGGGAGGAGCACGAGGTACAAGCGTTAAGTATGCCTCCGGAGCACATCGGAGTCATCTCCGAGGCGTCCGCACAACGGTTCATTGACGCAAAGGCGGCCTTCGACAAGCGGTACTCCGGCACCACCAAAGGCGTGCAGCGCTCGCGGTCCAAGTATCTGAGCAAGGCTGCGAGTAAGAAAGAGAAGACGGTGCTGCAGCAGCTCGCGCAGGCGCCATTCCAGACATTCATCTTACCTGTGGGCAGTATGTCGCCGTGGTACTTTGATGCGAACGAGGACCCGCCATCTGGGAGCCTTGTTGCACGGCGTGATGCGGCCGAGGCGCGCAGACTTGGGATGATTGCGGACCAGAGTCTGAGCCAGGAGGAGACGCGGATGAGCGGCAACTCACTCTGGAGCGCAGTCGCTAACTTCCTGTCGACAAGCCCGGAGACCGACAAGCATATGGCGAAGGCAGAAACCGACGGGGCTGACACCTCGACCACTTCAGTAGCAGCGCAGTCCAGCAGCGAGGCTATGCTTGGATTCGACCCGTCGATGCCTGTAGCCTATGGCACGCGCGAGAGCCGTGCCGGGTCCTCTATCAGGACGCTCAAGTCCATCTTAAGTTTCCGGAAGGCAACAACCGCCACGGCCTCTTAGACATATATTTAGTAATATTAGGATCTTTTATTGTCAACGGTTGTTGTAATGCATTTAACCACATTAAAATTCTAGTTCTCCAACCTGCTTGTTCAAGATGAGAGGAACAACAATGAAGCTTATGCTAAGCCGTACCAGAGCAAGAGAATGTGGAAATTGTATGAGATAACCTATGTTGATGTAAAGCTCAGGGGTTCGGAGCCCTGAGGCGAGTGTATGATAGGAGGCGAAGGGCCGGTCGTTGCCGAATCGCTTCTTCGCCTTCACGCGCGCCAGCCATAATATCCTCGCGCCACATCAGAGACTGCCTGTCTACTCACCTCGCAGCTGATATGAAAGCATCTGCAGCGCGT